GTCAATCACAGATACTTAAGTTATTGTTAATAAAATTTTGACAGCACTTTTTTGTTTAATTTTGAAACTTAAAAGAAAGTTTGCCTATTCTACTTATGTAACCACTCCAACCTCTATCAAAATGAAACTGAAAGAACTTACTCATGAATGCATCAATGACTTCAGTGGCCATCTCCTGGTGTTTTGGCAGGAAGAGTGAGAAGTCTGCATCACTGGGCAATTGTGATGCCTTTGTGAACGCAGGGTAAGAGTCCAAGGTCTTGAGGGGGATTTTCTCAGTGGCGTCGTCACCGAAACGGTCGTTTAATTCGACGCCATTGTTTGCGTATTCCGGAGGCTATAAATGTAAAGAAACGTTTAGATATTAAGAGGATAGACAAGTGACTTGCGTACTAGGTGAATGCGGTCTCGCGATTCTGTCTTCAAAGTGATAAAGATAGAATTTGTAGGTAGGTAGGTACTACTACATCTGTCTACTCACTTTGATACAACTAAAACCTTAAAACAATACTACAATATTCTTATTTATGCTGGCACTTGTGTTATTATTTTTACTTATGTTGGCATAAAATGCATACATGAATAATAAATAACATTATCTTGTCTTGGAATCTAACTAAGAATGCACATTTGTTGAACAAGAGAATTAGTAAATGAAAGTGTATTGAAACTTACCACAAGCTTTTCGGACAGCTGAAAGACGGCCTTGTTGTCACCCTTGGGAGTAATCAAGGGTTCGTTTGGCCGATCGAACAGCAACTTAAGGTGTTCTACGACATCCCCCGACATATCCGACATGTCGACGGTTAGGAATTAAAATTAACAATTAAATATATTAATAATTGGAGTCACTCACTTCACAGAAACTGTGAAGTGGAATGGTTTGTCCTGACAGTGGTAGATAATTTATACAGGGTGTCCAGTAGGCGAGTAGTAAGGGACGCGTGCAGTAACTCCGAGTGCAAAACCACACGGGAACTGATAGCACGGTGAGAACGAAGTAGTTATCGAGACTCGTGGGGAATGTGGTGATGAGGCACGTAGGTCAATAACTACTTATACTAGAGGCATTAGCAGTACAGCCTTTACGATAAGGGCTCTCAGAGCCCGTACCCCCATCGCCAGGGACCCTAAAGGACCGAAAATTTCTATGACGGACGCACACATCGCCCCGGGTTCAATTCCCGCACAGATCAAATCTTTGTGTGGTGTGATGTGATCAAAATTGTTGTTTCGGGTCTGGGTACCTACCATCTGCATGTGAACTTGTGTTTGTCTGACACCCACGATACCTACAGGATAAAATCCTAGTGTGGTGCAACGAGAAAATAAACATTTCAAAACGGTCTACGAATTATTGTGTAGTCTAACTTTTACTCAAGACTCCTTTTGCATTTTCACTGTAGCTACCTTGCTTTTGTAACAGTTGCTGCGCAGCACGAACAGAGACCAAGTTCGTTAGTAAAAATTCTACTAAGTAATGTACTGGTTAAATAAATCTATCTTAACATCTTTGAAGGCACGGTTTGCGCATTGGTTTATATACAAATGTTGTTCCGTGTTGTGCATGTGAAATTATGAGTTATGACTTATGAGTTTCTAGACGCACCAGCTAAGTGCTACAATACAGTAGAAAATCCTAGACGAGCAACATTTTTCTAGAAAAGAAACAAATCTAACAAAAAGCTGGTTTATTGTCTAGTGCTGTTTATTTGTGGATGCCTCGAAACTTCGCAAGTGTGACAGCTAAGTAATAGTTCAATACCCGGGTTGGTCAGACATTCATATTTTAATACCAAGCCATTTTCATATCACAGTAATAGCATGTAATATGCCAATAGGCTTGCTTGTATTACATGAGCCTCATAAAATAACTAGTGAAAAATGAGTGTCATTTCATTTTAGAACTTAGACTCAATGGCTATTCCCCTATACTTATTATACTCTTTGGGCTATACTTAGTTATTATACTCTTTGCTCAATGGTATGTGCTTTTTTCTTATATAAAAATTAAAATGTCTGTAACAAGGACTTTGAAATGAGGAAAAGGTTGGATAGCATAGAGTGCCATTGTTAAAGGCTCCATGGCAATCAAGGACGTTATAACCATGGCAATGGACCCTTGTAGTTGTCATTGGCCTAAATTCATAAAATACCATAGAGCTAAATCAAGCTAAATACATGGTTTGAGTGAAAGGTAGTTTTTATTAGATGAACGTAAAAAACTTATTACTAGGCAAATTAGCTGCTTATTAACACAATTTTTATTATCATTATTTGTGACCATAAACCACATCAGGAAGTGGCAATAGCATTATGTTATACAGATAAAAATAAGGCAAGTATGTATATATCACAATTTTATTTTTACCCACGGGGTGAAACAATAAATAAAAACTAATAACAATAATTTTACTACTCCAAAATTGATGACTATTTATAAAGATCACAATGTTCACTATTTTCGTAAGTAGGTATATTAAGGGTTTGCCTATTTTTCTTTTAGGAATTTGCAAACTGTCTCTAAGAATTTCTCTGGCTTCTGACTATGTACCCAGTGACCAGCGCCATCTATGAACACCAATTCTGCTAAAGGGAAGTATTCCTGTATTTCTTTTAGATCATTTTTCCTGTAAGTAAAGACATTTTTTATATTATTATTCTTTTATTATTATTTTTTATATCTAATACTATTATTTAAAGCTGAAGAGTTTGATTATTTGAACACACAATTTTTTTATAGAACATTTGTGTTTAGCAACTGTTATTTATTACTCTTGAACTTTGATAAGTAACTAGGTAAATAATGAAATCACTAAAATAAAATAAAATCATACAAAGAGTTATTTTTATTTAGTTAGTAGCCATACTAACTAAATAATACATACCCTATATAGTCAGACAAGGACCCTCCAACAAACAATGTAGGCCCACAATATTGAAGACCTCTCAAATTGGAAGGGAAACAGGATATATGTGACTGGAAGTTATCTTTCAAAGCTGAAATATTCACTCTCCAAGTGTAAGACCCAGTATTTGTTTGTACTAGATTAGTTATCAAAAAGTTTCTCAAGTTCACATCAGGAGTTATTATCTTTAGCTGCTCATCAGCTAACTTCCGGGCTTTAGACATAGCTATTCCTGGCCGTATTGATACTGATGTCATGGCGTCAAATAAATTAGCCATCGAGAAGATCTGGGGGCTTGTCTTAACAGGCGAAATATCCACCACAATAAGACTTGATACCATATCAGACTGAAAAAAAAGTAGCAATTAGTTTTCATGAATATGACTATCATAACATACATAATTATGTTCTTACTACAGTCTAACTGTTAGTACATTCAAACTACGTACAACTTACACAGAGCAGTGACAGCACCATGGCTGTGCGTCCGCCCATACTGTGGCCAAGAATTGATACTTTGGATAGCTCCAGTTTCTTGAGCAGCTTCATTACGTCGTGGGCCATATGTATGTAAGTATGTTGTGAAGCGTGTCTGCTGTCTCCATGGTTTCTAGCATCCACGCTTATGACCTTCCTACCTGTCGTCCTGTGGATAGCCTTGCTCATGCTGTTCCAGTTATTTTTGGATCCTAACAACCCATGTAATATGACTAGAGGTGGTCGTCCTGCACTTTTCAAACTGCTTGTACTCTCATAAGAAGCGTAAGCCAAGTCTACAGCTTCCGCATTGTCTGACGTTGCTAGTGTTCTTTGTGCACATTGTATAATACCAGGGAATAATTTATGACACACGGTTAGGTTACGGTAAACATTTTTAGGTATTGCTAGGGTGAGTAACATTTTTATTTGTGTTTTGTTAAATTTAATTAAAATTTTGAAGGTTATTTATTTGACATTACTCCTGAGTTACATTTTTGATGACAGTGACGTGACATTAAACAAGCAAAGATAATCATAGATGTAGATGGAATAATAGAAGATAATAGACAAGTCAATGTAGACAAGTGACACCAGAAAATCTTGTCATTGAGTAATCAGAAAAGCATTCAGATATCGACCCTTACACTCAAAGAGTGTAATAAGTATAGATAGATACTACTGTACTACTCCTTGCATCGACCTCATAGGCTGTGACGTCGATGGATTGGAGAAATTTGTTTCTTTCAACATCGGATATTTATTTCAACGGATATAAAACACAGGGCCTTTTATACTAAATTGTCCTCCTTTGAGTGCGTGTGGCTATAATCCTTAAAAACACAAATAATATGTAAACTAATCGACCATCTTGCGGTCGCTATATACTTAGTTGGCCCAAGATAGACAAAATATGTTACGACTGCACGGTTTGCGCGTGTTGCGGATTCGTTTACCGCGTTGGGCAAAAAGTGCTAAATGAATTTCCCTGATTAAAAAGCTTAGACTTAGGAAATTCGGCGGTGTTTCACCCCCGTGCTTCGGGAGCACACGGCTTTAGCCGCGCCTGACCTGGTCCTGCGCCTGACCTCTCGCACTCCAGTCGAATCAGTCTCCCGCCCCAGGGAACAGAGTACAACTGCACTGCAATATAATATCTCCTGCGTAGTGGGTTAGTTAGGCAGACTGGTCACCATGATCGAAAATTAATTTTATAGATGTTACAGTGTTTCTTATTATATAAAAAAGCGGAAAACGTAATAAAGATGCAAAGATTTTGGTATTTACAAGTTTAATTCCTTAAGTTCTAGAGCCAATCGTGTTATAAAAACGAGCACATAGCTAGGTAATTGAACATTACATAGCTCTTATTACGAAGGGTACTGAGCGTATTTTGAAATACTTAAGCAGGTTTTCGCACCTTTCTTCGCCTGATGTTTCAAGTGTCAATGTAATAGGGGGCGACTATAGGTAAACTGATTCCTGACTTTGTATGATTATTGAGTAGGTACCTACTTACTTACTAATTTAGAAAAAAAAAAACAAAATAAAAACACATTTTAAATAAAAATATATCAACATTCTAATAAGCAAACTGTAGCATCACAAATAGCAAACTTTTCCATCAGTTAATTCTATATTTGAGCCTGATTCTTAGCGTTATAACTTAAAAACTGCACAACACTGTCAAAGAAGGCATTTGGCTGCTCATGGTGAACGTTGTGACCAGCGCCCTCAATGTAAATCAGTTGTGCTTTAGGGAAGAGCTTACGAATTGGTGTAAGATCGTCAGGTCTGAAAAAATATTCAATTAAAAGTTTTATCAGTAATTCTGCTGCTCATCAATACCATTTAGTGTGTTTCTAACAAATAATGCACATAATAATATCTAGGTAAGCCTTACGGAATGAAAGGTGATAGTTTGCCACCGATGAACAGTGTAGGGCCATTATATATTTTGCCCATCATTTTCGGGAATGAAGAGATCTTGGGAAAATTATTCGCTATTGCCTCCACATTACACTTCCACCCAAACGATTTATCTGGCAGTTGTCCAATATTCATCAGAATAAAATACATCTCCTGATCGTTTTGGAATAATTGTGATTCTACCATCTTACTCTTCGCTGCACTCTTTGCTTTATTTAAGGTATCCAACCCCGTGAAGTCGACAGCTTTCATGACTTCCATAAGTTTCGGAAAAAAGACGCTTAACGTGCTTGTACGTTTACGTATCGGTGATATATCTACTACCACTAAATTCGACACCTTGGTTGGCTGTAATATAAGCATAAGAAGCTAAAGTATAGAATGGTAGGTATAGATATAAATATTGTCAGACTGTAGGAGTCAAGTGCTCTTGTATAATACACAAATAAAGCATCCAGATATGCACGCTAGTACGTACGTATAACTAAAAATTAAAAGATCCAAAGTATGTCGAACCTCCGCTAGAGCCAGAGCCATTCCTGTTCTTCCTCCCATACTGTGGCCAATAATACTCGCTCTTTTGATTTGTAACTTGGTCATCAACTGAGAGACATCTGCAGCTAAGTCGAGGTAGCTGTGAGCGTCACTATGGGGACTTTCCCCGTGGTTACGAGCATCCACAGCCACTACGGGCTTGTTTGTGTATTCCGTGATCTTCTTACACATACTTTGCCAATTTCTGCTGGAACCAAGGACGCCATGGAGGACTAGTATTGGTTCGCTGTCGGGCGTGATGCTAGGACCATGGATCTTGTGCGCTAAATCAAGTCCCGTGGCTCGAGTTCGAATTATTTGCTTCAGACTACATTGTTTCTTTATGCTAACACAATGCTGAGAGTTTAATTTACTGATTGTGCATAGTTTATCCATTTCTTTATTATTTTTGTATCAAAATACATATGTTTGTACAGTCAAATAATATTTCTTGTCAATTTAAAACGTCATTTTAGGTTCAAAGAAAATATTACCTAACGTAAAATTTATTTTAGATTATTTTTAAAATATTTCACGTTCAAAACCAGGCAATTTAAAAAAAACGTAAATACGTAAATACTTTCGTACAATACCTATCATGAGACATTAGTAGAATAATAATTAAACATTAATAGCTCAATCACGTGATCTATTCGAGAAAAGCTCTCCTCTAAGCTAGTTTCAGTCACAGGTCACACCGCGGCACCGAAACGCGTGTAATTACGTATAAGTATTACAGCATGCACTCTGTGTTCCCTAGGATGTGAGTATCAGACGAAAATTTGTTCCGTGATCCATTTTAGGTACCTACCTATAGTTAACAACGTTAAACTCAATTTTGTTTCCTATTAGAGACAGGTTATAGAAATAATGTTAGTACCTTCCTTGACTTTTCCAGGTAGACAATGAAATTGGTAGCTTTTCACATACATTTATTACAAATTCTTCGTAAAATAGGTAGGTAATGCTCACTGATAATAGGAACGGTAATACATTTTAATTAAAATTATTGTACGTTACTATTAGAATTAGGTTTATAATTATGTAATCTGAATCTTAGGTTTCTGGAATAAAAAATCTGCGATCGCAGTGAAGAATGCATCTGGGTCCTCTTCATGGACGTTATGTCCAACGCCTTCGATGTAGACCACGCGGGCGGTGGGAAACAGGTATTGGATGCAATTCAAGTCTTCAGGACTGGAATTAACAGAAATTGTCAAAATCAATAACCCGTGATGGCCTGGACTATGAAACTCTTCTACATAGAAATGGTTTATTACGCACATGCTCACTAAGCGGGAAGAGTAGCAGTGAGAAATATATTCTTCTGTGCCACTGCCATCATTAAACGCCAAATGAAATTGTCGTACGTCAAGCTCGAATTCTGACTCCCTCTTAGGGGTCATCCATAAATTACGTCACACAAATTTCATGATTTTTTGCCCCTCCCCCCGTCCTTGTTACAGCTAGTCACATATGTGAGACTCCCCCTCCCCTAGAGTGACGTCACATTTTGCAGAATAACGTATGTATGTAAAAATTATTAAATGAAAACAGCGGTTCCGAAATCAGTCTTATTTCTATTTAAATTACTTTAAAAAAATATTAATACAATTATTTCATGTTTTATAATAGTTTTTGATATGTGACATCACAATGTTTAGGATCCCTCCCTCCCCCTTGTCACACAATGTCACACTTCGTCGACCCCCTCCCTACCCCTTAACGTGTGACGTAATTTATGGACGGCCCCTTAGGTAATAGAGAGTTGAAGAGAACGAGGTGCTGCTGATTTAGTTTATAAGAAGTAGTAACTCAAGCGTTCCAGTTGCAAATTTATAACAATATGCCCTTAAAGTCCGTAATAAATATAATACCTACAGTATAGCGTATGACAGCCTGCCTGCGACGAATAGCGTAGGGCCATCATAAGTTACTCCATACATATCGGGAAATGAGTTGATATCGTCAGTTGTGCTCATTAAGGTTTTAAGATTATATCTCCACCCTATGGACTTATCAGCCAACTTTCCAATATTCATTAAAACAGTTTGCAGATCATGTTCAGAATGGAATAAATTAAGTTTCAACATTTTTCTTTGGGCAAAATCCATTGCTTTCTGCAAATCCATTCCTTTAAAGTCAATTGTGGACATGGCTTCCATGATCTTTGGATATTCAATATCCATAGCACCTGATTTCGACGCTGGTGATGTGTCTACGACGACCAAACTTGCTACTTTAAGTGGCTGCAATACAAACGTAGGTACTTCCATTGAGAAGTCATTGCATATTTTGATCGATAAGACAAAACATGTGTTTGTTAATACAGGGTTTCCCTGAAGTCGACGATCAAATAACACCAGTTCTACAGTTATCAGAAAAATATAAAAAAAAGAATCCAAGTCAGAAGTTTTTAAATTACAAAAACTTATGTTATCCACGAAAACGTACACCTTGTACCAGTCTTTTGAATTTTATTGCTACAATTCTTTATTTTTTCATCTGTATTTTTGCTTACGTTATCTTGATTAGTGCTTCAGTATTATGGAATCATAAATTCTGAACCAACGGCTTTAGTTTAGAAAAAAAAAATTCTTGATGAACCAAGTATTTTCAATAAAATTTCCATATTACTTTAAGTGACTGTGCTGAAAAAAATTGTACTGCGGTAGTAGTGGCTTTCACCAAAGTTGGCGCATTTAATAAGGATTCTAAAATAGTATACCACTCCCAACATTATATTAAATTCGACACAAAAAATGTATTTTAACGAAACTCCGTTTCGAACCATTTATTGGGTCTTACAAAAATTTATTCTAGTGCAGCCAAAGCGCACCTAAAAACTTGAAGATAAGAACAAATGGATTTGTGTAATTTGTTTTAGTGCATGGCAAACACGTCACTACTTTGATAACACTACAAAAGCTGTAAATAAGTTTTTCAAACCTCGGTCAGAGCCAAAACCATCCCGGTCTTGCCGCCCATGCAGTGACCTATAATAATACTGCGCTCAATAGAAAACTTGGTCATAAAATTAGAAACATCCGCAGCCAGGCTATAATAATCGTGGTCAGGGGTGTAGGGGCTATCTCCATGGTTGCGAGCGTCCACTGCTATCACAGTTTTATTTGTAAACGCTGTTAAATATCCACACATTTTTTCCCAGTTTCTTTTACTTCCGAGACAGCCATGGAGCACTATAATTGGACAGCTGCCTGGGGACGGACTGCGCCCGTAGACTCTGTAAGCCAAGTTAATTGCTGTACATTTTTCTCTGACCATTTTATTTGACCGGTATATTGCTTTTATGCAATGCTGATACTCGTTTCCGATTTTACGGATTGTTAGGCCTAAGATATCCATTCCATTTCTGTTCTATTTCCAATGTCATAATTGAAGAATGGTGGCAGATGGAAAATAAAGTTGTCATGATGGAGCCAAAGAGTATAATAATATAAAGTAGTTTATGTGCGTATGTGTGCGTAAAAAACTATTTATAAAGAAGGTTACATGATAGCAGGACAATGAATGTGTAAGAGTGTGTAAGAAACAAAAATGAGAGAGAATCATTAATCGCAGAGTTAAACTGAATTTTCTAGATGTTAGAGCCGCCACACACGGACTGATGTGAAAGCGGTCAGGGTCGACTGCGACTGCATAATGAGCTACAGACTTCTACGTACATATACAGAATGGTCAAGCAGTTCATCGTCCGGTCAAGCAGTCGCCAGGCATTTTAAACTGACTGCTTTCGTGCCCCAGCCGGGCTCGCGCTTTTTATTACACGTCGTGGACGCTTTACATTCTTAATCCAAAAACAATAGATGGATATGGGCTGATTTTTGACATTATTTGTATGGCTTTCTGTCAAAAATTTTGATTAATTTTAATCCAGAGATTTTGAATAAGATTGGTTATTATAATAGTAGTACGTAGGTTAGCAAATATATCTGATCGATAATCTTGTCTCATTTAGATAAGTTATGAATTACCTAAGTTAGTATAATTAAAACTAAGACGGTACGGGGTTGATTATAAAATTAATGTTAGATGTGGATAAAAAAATAACAAAATAAATTAACCAACACAAAAAACAGCCACGGTCACCGAGTACCAAAAAGCGATACTAAAGCAGCCCAAATTATCTTCATAAGTATTGTAAATAAAATAACGATGATATTATAATAATAATATTTATTATAATAATATTTTACATATTTGTAATAATACACTTATTAACAATGTATAACTAAAATAAGATTAAAGCAAAGAGGGGGCTGGTCATGGGCGTAGCCAGCCATGAGCTCAGGATGGAGCAATGTGTTGAGGCTGTTCAAAGGTGCCATATTGATTATCGGTATATAAATAGACACGAAATACAATCGCTAACATATCCCAGTGGATTTGCAAGCTGAACTGACAGTGAGCGGAGTAGCACATTCAACTGATGGCCGACGGAGCAAAATGAAGACCACATAGCAGCGAGCGAAGCACTGGACGTCCAACCTCAATGTATTCAGCGGCAAGCCTCTGGATGCAGTTCTCATCGTACCGGCCGATCTTGAATTTATTAGGGATGATTTCCTACAGTGTATATCTTGTGGATGATGATGACGAAACAAAAAATATGGTTGGGGCTATTTACGCCCTTTTATTTTAATTACAGATTTTGGTGTCGACCAACGACTGTTAAGTATGAAATGTCTTATAAATACTTAGTTTTAGTACCTAGATGATTTAGTTACCTGTCAGGTCTGAGTTAGAGTGAGGCAACCGCTCCACCCTGCCCCACCGTGGCTACGCCCATGGAGGTGGTGTTAAATGGCGTTTGAAGTGATGAGTTCTAATAAAAGATATGGTTAACTCCAAAAAAGACGCTGGATCATCGATGTGGACGTAATGCCGTGTCTTGGGAATGTACGTAACCACGGCTCTTGGAAAAATATCTCGTATATCTGGTAGGTCGTCGGGCCTGCAAGAAATGGGTCAGTTGTGAGTTGCGGGGTAGGTACTTACCTCTATAATTCAAATTTCAACAATAAACAGTTACGAAGTAGTTGGTTTTTTGCCCAATTGTTTTTGCAAAGGATAGAAAAAGTTAGATCTAATGAACATGGGTGCAGAGGAAGAGAGAACTCATGTCCGTAAAAATGTACAAACTTTATTTAATGTAAAACCGAAGAGTTTGTTTGTTTATATGAACGCGCGAACCTCCGAAACTACTGGTACGAATTGAATAATTATTTGTATGTTGCATAGTTCATTTATAGAGGAAGACTATAAAACACCACGCTACGGTTAATAGCAGCCGAGTAGAGAGGGTGAGTAGCTGGTATAACATATTATTCTTTATGGAAGTGAGCCCCGGGTATTAGAGCATTATTTTCTTTTCATCTGCACCAATAATCTATAGGTATAGGTATATAAAAATGAATCCCTTTTTCCCTTGG